ACCACAAATCTATATAGGAAAAGCAGCTGTTACATTTCCTAGAGTGAGGGAGTACAAGTCTCTGACATGATCCTCCCTAATTAAATTGCTTGGCACTGGGGAGAGGAAGATGCTCTTCATTTTTTTGAGTTTCAGCCTACTGCAAGAAGAAGGCAAAGTTAAACCTCCTGTACAAAGGAAGATGCTAATCATCATGAATGACACTGACATGTATTTTCCTGGGGGTCTCACTCTGGATGGGTACATGTTAGACCTCTGTCCCTTATTCTTTGTCACAGCAGCTCTTAATCAAAGACGGTTTAAAGAATTTTGCTCAAAACACTAGGAACCACACATTTTTCTTCCTTTAAAATACATTGATTTTAATTACTAGGCACCAACATACTCCTTAAGTTCCTAATTTTAAACACCTGTTTCCATTACTATTTTGAAATTACAGATTTTTTAAGTAATGTCTGGGTCACCTGAGTTGTATACGAAGAGTTCTTTCTGCGCTTGCCTCTTTCCCCAGAGGTGGTGCAGCTTCCTATTGGTCAGCTCAGCCCTAACCGTGTTTACCTTTGGCACCGATGAGTAAGTAAAAGCATGGGAACTGTAGGCACACATCCCTTCACTGAAGCTGTTTACATTCTGTAGTTGGGGATTTTTTTCTTTGTACTCTGCAGTTTTTTTTGATGGTACTAATTTGCCATGATGTGGTCAGTACTGTTTCCTTCCGGCCGCTTGCGAGCCTCTGGTAGAGATAAGGGTACATTTACAGTGCATTTTTAACATGGAGCTGAAGATCTGCTTCATGTAGAATGCAGGCACTCTCTGCATTGTGAAAAGAATTTATTTATTGGTTTCGTCATTTTTACATTCAAGGGGATTCAACTTCCAGAGAATTTCACTTGCAAAACAACAACTTTGCTAAATTTGAACTGTGTGTGAGAACAAATGTGACATACTTGGGGTGTCCTACAGCCGAGTAGGTCGATCTGAATTTTTATTTTTACTTTGAATAAACTGTGAAGATGAGAGATACTAAAGAATGTGAAAACTGCATACCTGAGTCATATGAAAATGTGGATTTTCTTTTTGTTAACTTTTTAAATTTTTCCTTAGTCTCATGCTTTTAATATGAAACACTTTGAAACTGATGTCTTATTTCCTGAAACAGTTCTGTTTCGGGTAATGAAAGTTCTCGTACATTAATCAGTAAAAGTAATACCTTTGGAGACACAAAAGTATCTTGACTTCCTTGGATGTAGATAGAACAGTTTAATACATGGAAAGCTTTATTGCCACTGCTACTATTTCACATTGCTAAAGTAACAGTTTTTTAATGATAATCTTTTTTTTTATTCTCTCCACAGTGGTAAAGACTCTCGAGGTGGGAAGAACAACTCAGGAAAGGATTTGCCTTGGTTTGTTTTGCTTAGAGAAAACGAGAGCCCAGAAACACTGATGATCTAAGAAACAGGAACATCGATTCATTTTGTGAACCTGCCTTTCTGCCCAGCTGGACCTCTGTTCTTTGACATTCAAGAACATTTTTCTTTGTATGTGGAGCTGAGACCTGGGAATGCGTTATTATGGCAGCAGTTGTACAGCAGAATGAGCTCGTGTTTGAATTTGCCAGCAACGTCATGGAGGATGAGCAGCAGGTATGGGATGGTGTAAGAAGCCATATTTGTACAAGTTGGTGCTAAGAGTTTTATGAAACACGAGGAAAAAATGTGGTGTAAAACACAAAAGGGAAACATTGAGGTCATTATTGTTGCAGCAGATCTTTGTGCTCTTTCAAAAGCTTCCTGTTGCTTCCTGTAACTTGCATGCGCAGAACAGAAATTGGTTGAAATGTTATAACCTCTGCAGTATTGCGGAGACATCCTCCTCCAAAAATATTTTTCCTGTTTTGCTGATTTGTGCCAGTAGAACCCATGAATGTATGATGTAGAATTCCCAAAATTACGGTGCTTTATAGTTTTAACTTCTCTAGTGTGCTAGGATAAAATTCTGAGTAGAAGTAATGGTTGCACTGCAGGTGACTGGAAGGGGCAGTATGTACCTCCTCACTGTTATTTACAGATTGTTTTCTAAATTGTATTACTGCATGCTGGTTATTCAGAAATCAGCTTGAAAGTAATTTAAATTGGTTTTTTTACACTACAGGGAAAATATGTCAGTTTCTACCTGAGCAGACTCTCAGTTAGGTGTTGATTATTTAAACCACATCCTGTGAGTGTTGAAGCTTCAGTAGGATTTCTATTGTAAAAATCATGTGGCTTCTCTATAGATGGCGGTTAATATTAGAGCTTGCACTTATTAACAAGAAATAAGGTGCCTGAGCCTTTTTAAAAGGCTAAGTGCCATGGCAAACTGATCTTTTTTGTTAACGTAAAAAGCATTTATTCTCCTCTCTTAAAAAAAACTTTGCTTTTGGCTTTATAATCTTGTCTCTGGTTTTCTGTATGGCTTAATATCTGGCTGGGTCACTGGCCTGTTTCTGCTGCCAGAGTCATGCGATCATTTCAATGAACTGAGTGTTGTCTGTCTAAAGTGCTAGCTCAGTTTTGGGTGGAATTAGTAATGTAACTTCCTTCCCTGTATTTTTCCAGAGCTTGTGGTAGCCTGGGGATTTAGATATGGGAATTGCACAAGTGTAGTTGAAAACAGGCCTTACTTAATACCTCTGCTGGTTGTTCATTGCTGGCTTTACTTTACAAGCCAATAGAAGAGGGAAGAATTGAGGCAGGGAGGGCTACCTCAGTGTGGTTCCTGGGAGGGGTAGTGAGAGCAGATACAGTTTTGTTTTGTTTAGCTGTGCATTCTGCTTCCTGCAGTTTATTTAGATGCTTAACTGAGAAACTTTAAAAATACTAAAGAGTGCTCAACAGGACAGTAAAACCTTTCTAAACAGATCTTTCTTGTCACCCCATGTTGTTTCTCCAGCTTCAGAACAAACTCAACCTTGATGTTTCTTTCATAAGTCCACTAAATTCTGCTCTAGATGAAGTCTAAGAAAAGATGTCCTGTAGCATACCCTAAAGGTGGTGAAATCAAAGATGTGAAAGGCCGGAGATAGAGGGTGCATTGCAGGAAGTCCATTGCTGCAGCCAGATGTAAGCTCCTTTTAAATTACTGGGTTCACTTAGTTCAGATATCAAAGATGCAGGTAGCCAGCTAGCTGGCTGCCTGAAGGTAAATCTTAAATACTCAGTTGTACAAAAGAAGTCTTGCCACAGATGAAGACCTGGGAAGCTGGAACAAGGCTCAGTTTGACTGAGGTTCATAGCACAGTAGCGCAAAAAGCCTGCTTCTTTCTTATACTTGAATGACCTGCTTCTTACTACCCAGGAGCTATTGCTACTCCTAAAGTTTTTAAATTCTTAGATAAGTTGTACTTAGGTATGGATAACACAATCTGTGTACTTTGCAAAAATTTTAGCTCTGTGAGTGCTCTGTATCGGGCAAAAGCATTTTCTTGGATCTTCATCGTATACAAAAGGTGTCATTTAACTCATCTTTGAATAATTATTTTTGCAGTGCCATCACAAGCTGGCATTTTAAGAACTTCGGTACTTTCTTCTTGTCAAAGTTTTGCCTGGAGCTGTCTTGTGCCAAGAGCTCTTGGGACATGGAACAGCTGTGGGGAGAGGTTCAAGGTCTAAGTGGCAACTATGCTCAGTATTTCAGGGAAGTCATAATTCATGGCTATTTTGTTTAATTTTTTTTTTTTTTTTAAATCTTGGTTAAACAACCGTAAATTATGAACAGTCCATTTGCAAATGTAAGCATTCAGCGTTCAGTGGCAGATGCCAATGGGAGGGGCTCAAACGCATGGAATCGTGTGAACGGGAAAGGCTCACTCTTATCAGCTTTATCCTTTGCAGTTTAGAAAATAATAATTTTTTAATTTTTTATTCTTGGAGGGTTCATTTATCACATAGTAGATCTGTGGTGAGGAAGAAGTGAAATGAAAATATCCTTATGATTTTCAGAAGGGAACGAGAGGCTTGGGCTAAAGCTACTGATAACCTGTCTGGCTTCTGCTACAAGTTAGGGATCTAGTTAAAATAGAGTTTGCTTTTCTTTTTCATCTTTTCTGTGGTTTTTTTTTGTTTGTTTGGGTTTTCTTCTTGTTGTTGTGAGACTTCACACATAAAACTGGGCAGGAGTTCCTGCAGGCTTTGGCTGAGTCAACACTGCTGCCTAAACCTGCTTCTCCTCCTATCTGCAGCTTCTTCTCTCAATGCCTTTTCATTTATTCCTTTGTGGACTTACAGCTAATGTGATATTTGATCAGGACATTTTTAATTTAAGAAGCTGAATAAAAGCAGCCACAGTGGCTAAATCCCTAGCAGGAAGTTTTAAAGGTGCCAGGGAGAAGTTGAATCATTACAACCATTAAATTGCTAACATGGTTCCCAGCATGACTGCTCTGTGTTGGGCTGTGCTGTGTTGCTTGTAGCAACCTGTGCCTGAAGACCCCTTCTGTACCTCTGGCGTTTGTTTCTCTCTTCCTTTCTTTTGATAAAGAAGGGTCTGACACCTTAGGTTGAGCCATGACTTCTGCACCATCATCTGATGCCTGCATTTTCTCTTCCATGTTCCCTGATATCATCATGGGCTTTCAGAAAGATTAAGCCACCTGGTCAAGATGAAGATCTACATATTTTTGCTATTTCCAGCTCCTGCAGAATATTCCTCCCTCTTACTCTCTTGCAGATTTATTAAGACATAAGGGAAAATATGAAATCTGTGATGAGGTTGTCTTCCCAGAAGAGTGAGCTGCATGTGTCTGCCTGCAGCATCCCTCTGTGCAATTTGGTCCCTTCTCTGATGCTGGTAGTGGGAACACCTTTAAAGTTGAGAAACTGCCTCTGCACAGGGACTGTCAGCAAGGGAAAACCTAAGGCTATTTTCTAGTCACTAAGTCACTATCACTTCCTCTAATACTGTTTAGTTTTTTTGGTTGTTTTCTTTGTTCTTTGTGGGGAGTGGGGGGTTGTTTGTTTATTTTTTTTATAGGAATGGCCATCTGTATTGCAAGTCTGAATGCTGTCCTTTGGTTAAAAAGACACTTGTTCTTTCCCTGAGGTTGCTTTCTCCTTTTTTTTTTTTTTCACATGTAGCTTTTCCCTTCTACTATCTATTTCATGTGTTTCTTCCCACCCATCACTCACTTGCACCAAAATTATTTCACACCAGTTAAAAGATAGTCACTTTATTCTTGGGACAAGTTGTCATCCTTAAAGACTTGTAGTATGAGAAGACAGTACCTCCAAAGCAGAAGAAATCCCCTTCCTTATTTTCCATTTCTGTGGCCAGGATGGTGTTTTGATCTTCTGTCAGTTGGTGACAGTTCATGAGACAATTTTCAGAGAAAAAAAGAAACACCTTGTCAGCATGTCAAACACACTAAAAGAATTAGAGAGCAGGAAGGAAGATTGCTGCCTTTAGACCCTGGAGGAGGACTGGGTTCATTTCTCAGGGGATTGTGGAATATAATCAATGCTTTCAGGGACCTTCCATGGGCTTTCAGCATCTGTATGAAATTTGCACTCCTCTGAATTGGTAAAGGTTGGTCTACAGGGATTTGTTGTCTTAAGATTTGGGAAGGTTTTAGCAGTAGCTCAATTGTTTTATGTGTCCAGCAGACATGGGAGATGAGTTGGAGCCAAGTCAAAGCTTTGCTGGAGCTAGGGTGTCCTATTTTACCTGTATTTTATAAAAGAAAGATGAAGCAGTAGAAGTAGGAGAAATTTAAAAATACACAAATTGTTCTATAGATCTCTGTATTGATTTCTTGAAAATCATTGCCAAAACTTTAATTTGGGACTTTTTTGAAACTTTGGGATAGTTTGCACTATACTTTTTGCTAGGGCATGTTTGTATTAGAAATAAATTATTTTGTGATCTTGGTATTAGACAATTTAAATTGTGTTAATTGAATCACTACCCTGTAGTTCTTAACTTAATGCTTTCCCTGTGTGTAATTCTCATTACACACTAGATTCGAAGGGAGCTGTAGTAAAAAAGGGCTCTTTTACACTTCCAAATATGTACAGTTATTTTTATGTCTTGCAAAACAACAGAGCTAGAGAAAAGTTTAGTTTGGCTCTCAATTGGGATTCAGGCACTTCCAGTGAAATTAAGAACATTATAGAAGTACCAAGGTGAGATTATCTCACAGTCATGTGTACATCTGTGTACATTAGTATTAGCTTTTAAAACTAAATGAAAGGCTTGTTAATTAAATAATAACCAATTGCAAATAATGTACAAAAAAGCAGTGACCACTTCCACAAAAATGCATTTCAGATTAAATTGGTTTGCAGTTGTGTGAATACTTTTCTCAACAGTAGCATATTAGAATTTGTTCTTTCCTTTTCACAGCCATGGCAGGAAGGAAAGTCCATACATTGTACTGCTGTAGGTATGAGTTGGATGCAGTTATAACAATAGCTTTAAAATAAGAGGCTGCAAGAAGTGATGTTTACTCTGATTCTCCCAGTTCAAAACTGTGATTAAGATAAAGAAAAGCACATTCAAAATGTCTTTCCATGAGTGAATGCTTTTCTGTTCATCTCCAGTCTTTTGAAAGCATAGTGTGTCAGCAGCTTCCCTGCGTAGTCCAGCACCAAGTTCAGGTGATGAGGTCTTGCCCTGCTGTGGGGGTTTCTCTGCCCGCAGACAAACAAAGCAACAATATCAGTGTGTGTGCATGATGGTTGTTTCTAGATACAGTCAAAACACAGTTTAACCTTGCAGAGCAGTTCATATGGATCAAACCACTTCTGAGCTGCATGAAGCAGCACAGTTCAGTACCACAGGAAACATTCTGGTCAGTAGTGAAGTGTATTTGTTTGGGCTTTTGTAACTAGGTTTCATAGCAAAGTGAGTAGGGTGTAATATAAGTAGGGCTTTGAGAAACTGATCTGAAAACATGTGACAATCAGTTGATTTTTTCTGTATTTTCTTTATTATTCTGAAACATTTTTCTATAACTAGTCCTCTCAGAGGCCAAGCCAGTGGCATGAGCATCAGTCATTAAAGAAGGACAGTGCTGAGCCAAAGTAATTTTCTTCTTCAGAAGAAGCTAATGTAAGGCTTATCTTGAGCACAGGCAACCTGATCTGTGGCTGCAGACACTGCAGCTTTTGAGCTGGTGCAGGGGCGGAAGTGGGGCGAGAGGAGCGCGCCTTGCTGCCCAGATGTGGTGGGGAGGAGGAAGCTGGCCACTTGCTGATGAGTGTGCAGGACACAGATGCCTACACCAGAAACAAGCACCCCAACACCTCCACCATTTCATAGTCAATGCAGAGAAATAGGTGTTTTTAGGGCATGACATCCTATTGTAGCACAGGAGGCTAAAACTGGGCAGGGAAATTGTGCCCTAGAAATACCATCTCTGTCTGTTGGATGGGAAGGAAACTTGGGGGTTCCTAGCTCATGTCCAAGTGCCTGCATCACAGCTGTCTGTAACTTAAATCCCAAAAGTTATGTATCGAGGCATATTACTGAAACTGAGGTATTTAAACTATTTTTAGAACATAATTGTATCTCAGGAAGGAGTTGTAATGGACCATCTACCTTGTAGCTTATGAATGTATTGTTGAAAATAAAACTTTTTTAATGTATGTAGCTTTTTACTTTTCTTCTCTCTTTACAGTGCTTTATATATATATTTTTTTTTTTAATGTGGCTTTTATTTAATTAAATATATTTGTTTATTCTTGCCTGGAAGCAAATAGGATCAAGGATGTTCAGGTCAGCAAACAAATAGGATGCAAAACATGAACATGACTTTTTCTGAGGAACAGTTGGGACCTCTTGCCCATCAACGATTTCTGTTTTCTCAGCTCCAGCATGATGCAGCATTGGTTAGAGGTGCCCACAAAGGTGTGGGGTAGCAGCTGTCCCATTGCTTGACTTGATAAATACCTGGGGATAAGATTGCACAAGAGGGCTTTAATTGGTCTGTACTTTGTTCATTTTTATTGATTTTCTACCATATTGCTCTCTTTTGAAACATGTTTCATAGACTACGTCATTATTTGTTGTTTGGTTTTTTTTTTTCAGTTTTGGTTTTGTTGACCTTTTTGGGGTTTTTTTGGGTGTTTGTTTGTTTGTTTTGTTTTCTTTTTGTTTAGGAGACTGTCCATGATGGAAACCCATTAAAATACTATTTTTGGTTTTTAGTTCTTCTTTTTTTCCTGGTTGCCCTTTACCACAGTTTTTGCTGAGACCTGTTTTACAAAACACAGGGCCATTTAAAGTGGTAATTACTGCCTTTTAAAATTTCTAATTGCACTTTCTACTTTCCGTACTTATGGTCCAGACTCTTCCCTAGGGGAGGCTTACTCCTCTAGCTGTTGTCTGGGTTGAGTAGATAGCTCTGATACCATTTTCCATCACTGTGAGAGATGAGTAATTCTTAAACAACGGCATAATCATACAGTTGTTTTTTTGCCTTGGGTTTTTAACTTGTGTGGTTAAAAAAACTACTTGATCTTCCTTCCAATACCTGAAGGGAACCTGCAAGAAAGACAGACTATTTACAAGAGCATGTGGTGACAGCACAGATGGAAATTACTTCAAACTTAAAAGATGGTAGGTTTAGATTAGATAGTAGGAAAAAATCTTTACTGTGAAGGTAGAAGGGTACTGGAACAAGTTGTTCAGAACAGCTGTGGATTCCCCATCCCTTGAAATATTTAAGGCCAGGCTGGATGGAACTCTGAATAACCTGATGTGTAGTGGAAGGTATCCCTATCCATGGCAGGGGGATTGGAACTAGATGATTTTAAAGTTTTCCAGCCCAGGCCATTCTATGATTCTAAGATCTGTACATATCTGTGCTCTTCTGTGGAGGGTGGGACCAAATGTACATATACTGGTTTTCTCAGAAATATGTTTTAGCAACTTTTTAGGTTTTTTTCTTGTTTTTAAGCTTGACACACATTAATAATGTGTTTCATTTTTGTAGGAGGAAACCTTAGAGTTACACTAGACTTTCCTTGAACCTGTTCTATCAGGTTCTATCAGTTCTACTATAACTTTTTTCCTTCAAATGACATTTTAAAAGACTCACTTTGAAAAATGCAGTGTCTGTAGTAGATGTTATTTGCTGAAAACCTCTTCCTGTTGAGCGGTTGCCTTGTCAAGAGAGTGTGCATCTTGCTATTATTGCTCTTAGGTTTGATTTCTGTTTTCCAGGTGCCTCTTTTCTTCTGTATCTGATGCAAAATAACTATCAAGACCAAAGGACAATGTCTGAAAGTAGACTTAGGTGGCGAGGGGGGGTGTGGTGTGAGTGATGTCAAATGACTAAAGCTATAAGAATTAGAGCACTTACATCAACCTGTTACACCCCTTCCTTCTGTAGCAAGTGTCCCCTAAAATAGTGATTTTTCAAATACTGTATCATAGGAAATATGATGCCTGTGAGAGCTTTGTCCAGTCCTCACAGCCACAGGACTCCTTCACTCTCAGCTTGATGGGAAGAGCAAAAGGTGAAGGTGTTTGCAGCAAGTTGCTCACCCAGTATTATTGCCAGCAAGATGTAGCACTTACTGTGCCTTGCCACTCCTCTGTATTGTCAGCTTTCATGCTGCAAAACTGTGTCATGAAAGTCTGGTGTTATATACTCAAGTACAATCAGTACAGTAGATACTTCAGCAATATTCAGTCTCTGGCTCCTGGTGGAACACTGCTGCAATTTGCTTTCAGATGCTAAAAATCATCTTTTCCTTTAGTACTCCCTCCTGACTCTTTAATATCTGGGTGGTTTAGTACAGGTCTGTTGAAGTATTAATCATTAAGTGGCTAGATTGGAAGCAGTCTAACTAATGTCTTGTTTATTTTTTTCTCCACCCCCAGCTTGGCGATCCATCCATTTTCCCTGCTGTCATCGTGGAGCATGTTCCTAGTGCAGAACTCCTGCATAACTACTCTGGCTTAACCTGCGTGGATGAACCTAGTGACATGATCACTGAGAACTCTCTGGATGTCGCAGAAGAGCAAATCATAGAAGATGATGATATCACCCTCACAGGTTGGCAATAAAACCATCTCTCTGCCATGTCTTTGCACCAAGATGGCTGTGACTAATGGAGGAAGAAAGTTTAATGACAAAAAACAGGGAGAAAAATAGTGGAATTGAATGTTGTTAATTCTATACAAGACAGAGAAAATGGCATTAGTATTGTTAGCAGGTGGCTTGCAATCCTAGTTGCACAGCTGATAATGGTGAAGAGTTTCATCCATCAACAGTGATTAAGGCAGAGTCCTGCTCAGAGTACCAACAAAGTTTTTCTTTGTTCTTCATAGGTTTTGTTTGCTTTTACTTAATAGGTGGTGCATTCCTAAGTAAACATATATACCAAAAAGCAGGAATGTGCAGCTTGAGTAGATGTACTGCTTTTAACTTCCCGAAGGTATACAGTAATAAATTAAAATGTGTGTGCTAGCGTGACTTATTGGTGTAAGTATACTCAGCGTAGTATTAATCTTGGATCTCTAGTAATGATTCACACCTAAAATACAGGTATTTTTTGTAAATACTGTTAGAAAAGGTAGCCCTAAAGAACAAACAATTGTCAAGAGAAAAGCTCAAAGACCTGTCACGTGTTTTAAAAGCAACTCCTCACTGAATGCATGTGTTTGAAGTGTTTTTGTAGAAAAAGTCTCAGAGGTGGGGTAGATACTTTACAGAGAGAAGTTTTGTTTTAGCCACTAGGCTTCACACCTGGACTGTGTCCAGGGAGAGAGACAGCTTGCTGGTTTCACTCAATACTTTTGACATTATTTCCAAAGACATGCTCTGATACAATCTTTTACTACAAAAAGCAAAACAAGAACTCAACATAACCTGACATGAGGAACAGTTCACAGAGTAAATTGACATGAGCTGCTCTCAGTAAATGGTTTTATCTGATGAGTATGGCTCCTTTTTTTTTCATAGTAGTGAATTATCTGTGAACAGACTGTGACCATACAAATAAGTTAGGTTATTATTCAAGAAGGTTTTCCATACTCAAACAGTATTTCATATTGAGACCTCTTGCCAACTTGCTGTTCATATTAATTATTCACACTACAACTGGCATATCCCCAGTGTGTTACTTAAGCACCACTTAATGCATCCGTGTGAATTTCATAGTGGATCATTTTTGTGAATCCATATTCACTGTAATATATTGTGTGTGAATTTTTACATGCATGAGTAATCATGAAGCTCCACTTTTGTGAATGCCCTTGTAAACCTTTTTTTTTTTTTTTTTTTTTTTTCATTGCTGGTCACATGAGAAGGTTTTGCAAATTGCTGCCAGAAACTGAAAATATTTAATCCTTGTAACTGATGGTGTCCAAGGGTTTCTGGGATACTTTGGAGGCAGACAAGTACAGTATTGTTCCCATCATCCATTATAGTTCAAGAAATCTGGTTTTCTTTAAAGGCAAAGTCCTTAGAAATTGAGAGCTGCCACTTTGCAGAGATAATTGTTGTGATGATAATGAATTATCTGTTTCAGTGTCCATCGTGTGCGTGCAGTGGATTTCCTTAGCATGGAAAGGGAAAGGGGATGAATGCAAGTTGACCCAGGACCAACACTGTGGCTGGAAATCTGCTCAGGACTAGGCAGGCAACACTGGCAGCTCAGCCACTGGTCTCTGGCAGGAA